CCCTGTCTAAACTTGAGATGAGCTCACACAGTATATCTTCAAGGATGGACACCAAGTTGTTGCCGCTTTCGTGCATCGAGGCACGACTTCGCGCCTGTAACGGCATTGTCGCGGCCTCCGCAGTTGAAAAATTGCGCTCACCGTCTCCGTGTCGTTCTCTGTCTGCGGAAGACGCAAAATCCCAAGCATTCGCAATGGTATCCCAACCGTTTCAGGTGTGTAAGCCGCGCTCTTCTATCATCATATCTTATTTCATCTACTTTCATCCCTTGCCGTTGACATATAACTCACGGCTTTGGAAAGGTACACCCTGACAACGAGGGGCTAGCGGAGCTAAGAGCCTGCCGAGACAAAGAATCGGTCTCGAGGCGAGACACGTCACGCCCTATACCCCTCATCCCACCTTCCTCAGAAGAAGTACTAAGGCGAGACTTGGAGAGTAGAGCAGATCAAGTGAAGCCATATGAATTTACGAGCAGAAAAGATGAGAAAACGTATCCGTTGGGTACGCCACACTCCGGCAATGAAGATGAGTACGTGCCCCCCTCTTTCAAGGCCAAAGACGGAGAGGAGTCACAATATATGTGAGTGATACAAACGACAGACGTCCCGAGGACCCTGAAGAGACTGAAAAGAGCAGAGATGATGAGAAATCACCCGTACGAGGGAGTTCATTGCACTTATCAGGTCCAAAAGATGGGGATTCAGAGGTGTTGCTTGTGACGTTTGTTACACACATGGGTCTACAAACACGTTCGCGGCTGATAACCAAAATATACAGAATCGGATCGTGTCGCGTTCCTCCGCCGTCCTCTATCCGAGACAGCAAGGGCAGTGCTCGAAACGTCGTGCGTTTCTATGGAGCGTCACAGCCAGATTTGGTGAAGGAGTCGTTGATTGAAGCAGGACACACGACTCCCATCCTGATTGGAGTCTCATTCTTAGAACAGAGCCAAGGCGAGCAAGAGTACGATCTTTGGATATGCCCCCCCGGTCGAGAGAATGAGATTTATGGATCGCTGGTGGTGACAGAATCGGGAGGATCAGAGGTATGTCAACAAAGGAGCGGACATATCTTGACGAGTATCTAATGGATGATGGGACGAAGGTGCCGGCGACAGAGGCCTGCGATCGCTGTCGTGCAGGAGTCAAAGCAGATATTACCGAGGAAAATGCTTACACGCAGACCGTACGGTACCCGATCAGATGCGTGGTACGAGACAACTCGCTTGCATGCGCAGCATGCGTGTCTCTGGGCCTGGATTGCGAGTCAGCACTCAGATTCCAACTCATGCGGGCCATCGTGACAAAGGATGTTGAAAAGCTGTCCGACCTGAAGCAGACGCTTGGCAAAATTTCCGAGACACCGCACAACAGAAAGCGGTACCTTGACGAGGTGCGTGCCATTGTGGCCGTCAAAACGCAAGATCTGTATCTCGTATCGGGGCGGCTCAAGATCCTCTCCGAAAGTGACATACACAAGAGACTGAGAGACAAGGAGCCACCTCCTGGTCAGAGAGGCGGCACATTTGTGGACGAGGCCGTGCTGAGGAACATAATCTCCAATAACACTGACGCGGTAGGCTACATTCTCGAGCTCGAAAGTGATCATTGGGAGAAGGCATACTTTGCTGATATTCTGCTGTTTTCGATGTTGGAGGAGCAGATGGAAGAATGTTCGTCTCAATTAGCGTACGCGAGCTCAATGATGAGCCATATAGAGCCCCTGACCTTGAACCTGTACTAATCCTAGATCCCGTGCGTACTCGATTACATGATATTGAAGACTATGTTTTTGAACAATTCGGGAGCAGTCGTGAGTTCTTTTAGAGTGTCTTTATCTCCAACACGGCTATATGAGGGTCATCCGTATCACGCCCCGAAGAATAATTCGCGCTTGATGCCGTTAAAAACCACGTTCAACCGATAAAGTCAAATGTTATGGTCTTCGATAAGATCTCAAAAGACCCGCATCCGTTGTTGCTCAAGGACAGGCAGCTCAGCTATGTCTATATCCTTGTCTACGTTTGCATGCGTCTCTGTTTGACCAAAATCAAACATCTTGGCGCACCACTACGTCACCGCGACGAAGCACGCGCCGGCGCCAACGAACTACACTGTCATTTGCGCTGGTAAACTGCCACAGTACGCGCGGTACGGGTGTCGTCCTGGACGTGAACAAGAAAGTGGACCCACGGCTATATGTAGTGCACGATGCAGCTGAACTCGCACTCGGAGGTCATTCCTCGCTACGCTGACATGAATGTGGCACCCATGCAATCCCGTGGGGTGAATCTCGCCGTTCGGTACCTTGGTTGCTGGTGAGTCCCGCTGGGAACCTCGCTTGCGAGGCACTCCAAGAGTTGCTAGACATGTACTACGAGAGCATGACATCGTAAGCGGGCGCCGTGTACCTTAGCTTCCTCCACCTGACTGTGACGGTCGACATGCCTAGCCGCGCGAGCTTGAAGAAGAAGGGGGCGGCCGATGCTTTGAAAAAGCTCTTACGTCGCTCGATACTGGAATACATCAAGATCGAGATCGACAGCTCATTGCGTCTCTACCTCTTGCGTAATAGACCGGAGCTGCAAGAAAACGCTCCACCGCGCATGGTTGCCATGATGCTGCGAGACTATCGGAGGGCCCGGGTGCGGAGCAACAGGACACTCAAAGCGCTCGTGCGCTTGGTCGCAAGTGACTACCCGCTGGCGTTGGAGCGCTTACGCCACAGCGACGTCACCTTCCAACACGGTTCCAAGGGAACACCACCGCGGCCTATACCGTTTCTGCGCTGCGTGCGTCGAGTCGTTAGAACGTGTCTTGCTGATCTGCCCAATTTCTGAAGCCCTGGTCACGGCCAGAGTCGCGTTTTTTGCCCAAGTCACCAACATGTGGCCGGGGTTCGCTCGGTCATTGTACTCCAGTCCCTCCATGAACAACTCGGATGTAAAGCAGTGGTGGGCGTGGTGGGCTCTTTTGCTCACAAGACCTTCCGCATATACGACGCGCACGCGTTGATGTGACCACCCGCGTATGTTCTGTGTGGAGTTAATACTGTATTTAATAAGGATATGGCCACTATTTGCGTCGCGTTGACGCACACATGGCGTAGTATGTGCTTGTAGTTCGTGGTGAATGATCATGGGTGTACGCCAGCCTCTCGACTACCTGATACAAGCTAACGAGCTACCTCACGCCGCATGTATCATGCACAGCGTTCCGTATGTACAGAAGTAAGCTCTACACCGCTTCAGCAAGAGCAAGAATGTGTATTTGGGGCTGGCGTGTCGCCACGTGGTCGGGCAGCACTCCGCGTCTCGCGTGCAATAAATTTCCAGAACTCCAGCCCGTCCTGACATGGGACAAAGCTATAGAAATCTGATACTAAGACTACTAATACGACTAGCATCCGCGCGCGACCTCAAATACGTTGCTAACTGCCCACGTGTGAGACCCTACACCTTCTCCTACACTCCCACTCCTTCGTAGACCCTATGTGCGGCGCGTTCCGCGAGTACCTTTACTACGTCAACTCCTCGCTTTTCCCAGCGAGTGATCTATTATCTGGAGGCTTATTTTTGCTCATATTGCGATCCTCTCTTAGCCGCGCTTGCTCAATCTCGCCGCTCATCTCTACCTCTCATCGACGCTGACGGCGTAGGTATTGGCACTTTCCCCCATACACTCAGTCTCAACAACAAACTAGGAATCCCCCTCATACTACGCACTACCGCTCTGCTGGTCTGACTATCTCTTTTACCTAGATACGCGAACAGAGCTCTTTCCAAATCGTACACAACGGCCAGACTCATCATTCTTGTGGACCTCTTCTTCGATGTTTACCTCCTCTGTCACATTGTAATACACGCTTTAAACCGTATACGTACTGGAAGTACTTTTATATATGGTGAGTATTCAAAGCTTCCGCGGCACAGTAGCGACAAGACTTGTCTCCCAGAGCGATGGACAGAGCTTCGTGTTCAGTTCTTCGCACAAATGCGGGACGTACAGAGTTGAATGCAAAATTTGATAGCCGCCGTCCTCAGTTGACATCTTTGAAACACAACACTTTCAGCTCTTGATATTTAGCGTCAGCACGATAACGCCCAGTTTTAGGTGGAATCTCATCAGACAGTCAAACGTGTGATTAGCAGACTCACACATGTGTGCAATCCGGGAAAAATCTTCATGTATGCATACAGCAGTTCGAGGCCGTCATTTTGTACATGTATAGAGCCTGATACGCCACCGTGGCGCCGGTAAAGACCGAGTACAATTTAGCAATCGTCTTAGGCCCTTCTAACTCTCTTCTTTGGAAGTTGGGAGTGCTGAGAAGCACCATAATGATCTGCGCATGTGTCGATGCACTCTGCTTTAGGACGTTTCCTGTGGTTTGCCGACGTCACTGAGGCACCTGCTAAAGTGCTTGTTACCGGTGATCCAGCGTCCTTTCCCTGCGGCGAAGAAGTCAATATACTGGAATAGTGGTCCTCAATTTTTACGTTGGGTCTAAGTGCGGGATTCCAACGGTTCTTTCTACAGCATCTTGTCAGACCTGGACAGAAGCATCAAAGGCGAGATTCGCACTGGTAAGCTGGAGGGATTGCGGAACGCGTGCAATTCCGTCCCTGGCTCGTGGAAGCGAGGCTAGTCTCCGCATTATTTCTGAACTGACTTTGCAGCTCGAGTCTAAGACCCTGAGGTATTGGCTTGCATGAGTAAAAAGACAGTCTGAGTCAACAAGCAAAGACCTACAGCACGGTCACCGTCTGCACACATGTAGATATCGGGAGACGGTGGGTTTATCCTGAGGGGTTCTGCTGTATTGTCAAGCTGCATTACGGCATCCACCACCTGCTGAAACTGGGAAGTGAGCTCTGATTCTGATACAGAAGGGCAGGGCATACCGATGAGCTTGCGTGATATTCCGGCTGTGCCTGCATGATTCGAGTGTACCATACGTCATTTCCCGCCATACCTGTATGCTCCGTGAGTTGACTCCGACCTGAATTCACGGCCCTTCGCTGAAACAGAAAAGGTGACGAGGAAATTGGTAACAAACGCACCCCGTGATCCCTTTGCAGGTGTCATATCGACAGACCTGAGCTGATGCGCATTCTCGAGCCCATTCTGAAGTGGCTGGTCCCGTCCATAAGAGGGCGCGTGGGGAAGACCGGCTTTGGGTACAAGTTCAGTGATGTAGACATTCTCACCGGATCTGCGACTCACCTAACATATTTTCGGCGGGTTTTAACTTTGGCAGAAGAATGTGCGTGGTCTGGAAATGTTTGCTTGCCAGACCCGAACTAGAAGCTTTGGGCCGATTAGGTCAATGATCTGATCGACTTATACGCTAGTCTGGACCTTACATGCGCGCAACACAGGCCCAGATTCGGTTGCGAAGCCGCCGAGTGTCGTCATCGGCTTCTGCATCTGGGCTCTGTTCAAGCAGCTGACAGAGAATATAAATTCACTATATTCACCTCGACGAGACTGCGGTCTTGAGGCATGCCTGAAGCCTCAGCCTGTTTCATGTTATGATCTGTGGAAGAGATGAGCAGTAAGTTGAAGTAATCAGATACCAGTATGTAAACGATACGTACGACTGGGCCCGGCGAGAGGCTGGTCTATCAAGGCCGGCGCAGGTCTATGCTGTGTGTCCTAAGCCATGTTATCATCACCGTATAATGCGGGAGAGCACCCATATTCTGTCAATATCTTACCGGAGACGAGTCGCTAAAGGTCTGATGGGAGTCGTTAGGCGTAGCCCATAGATCCGAAGGATCATTCACACCTTCGGTACATACGTAGACGTCACCTCCTCAAGCTGAGGTGCTCTCCAGTGGGTGTGGTCGGTGGTAGTAGGCAACGGAGGCGAGAGGGATGTTAGAATTGAGAGGATTCTCCCGTTACGGTATCTGCATCAGAAAATCAGACCGTTTCCTCCCGCAAGTGGGGGTCTGAGATTAAATGAGGCATCTGACTCACATTGCGGTCTGACCCTCATGTGCTTGTTTTACGAGCTCTTGTACGAGGCTCTCAAGCCTTTCCGGACCGAGGATGTGACGCCTGCCGTCTTTGAGTATGCTGCAGTCGGTCGCAGTGGCACGAAATGTAGATGCAACGTCAACATCGAGATGGGTTGTCGTATTGTTAGAGGCAGCCGAGTTCATGTTTGAGGGGGAGGGATGTGGACTGAGTGCTTCACTCGCTTCGCACTTCATTATAAGAAGGGTTCTGTCGTCATGCGATCTTATTGGGAGGCTGCACATTCTGGGTACCGTATCCGTAATTATTGTACGGCTCTAGCGACGTTTTGACAGCCACCATACGTGTTTAGATGCGCCGAAGTTGAAAGAAACGTCGATTCGCTCCTGCACCCATCCCTCCACGAGTTCTAAAATCAAGCACGAACAGTATACAAAAGTCAGACGATGAGCGTCATGTCCGTTCTATGGCTTTTGCGCAGTGATGGTGAAGTACGTATGAGAAACCCCAGGTTCACGACGAGTGTGAAATGTGATTCACATTTTTCGCCAAAATGGACAGCTCCCGGAGTGACTGTGATGTTCATGCTCTGTGAGGCACCACGGACGTTCTGAGACTGGCTGAATGTCCTGCCTACTGTATCAGCGGAGGAAATAAGGGGTACCTTTGGGCAGATCACACATTTGCAGAGCTTTGTCACATCCAAAGACATCGGTCAGGGTACGTCACGATGCATTCCGACAGTTGAGTTGTAAGGGCATTGGGCCAGTGAGGTATCTAGGTCTGATGTCAGATCAGTCCCCTATAGAAGCTCAGCGAGCCATCTGACTTTCCTTAGGCAGTTCACAGCCTAGCGCACATGAGCAGTTGCATGTTGTGTCAGACACCGGTCATATACACGTGCAGAGATGATGAACAAGGAGGGCGTGGCTCCGTTATCAGGCAGATCTGGTCCCTTACCAGGCTTATCATGAAGGCTCACTAGCATGGCATGAGAATGTGGGTGCGTAACGTCGCGATTGAGTATTATTTTTGGCGGCGGCACTACCAGCCTCAAGTCTCTTTATGTCAAGCAGGTCTTAAAACTCATGCAGACGCGCGTCATGATGAGGGAAACGCTCGTTAAGGAGGCAAACATTCTTCCCAGCCTGTCGAGTATGTATTACTGCCTTTCCATTTGTCTGAAGTGACCTCTCATTTCAAAAGTGGTCTTGATTCCGATCCGGCGACATCTACGATACTCAACGTTCCAACGTTCGGGATAGTCTGCGCTCCGAAGTATGTGTGCCTGCGCAGCTCCGCATCTGTCAGTAAGACCTCCGTAAGGACCCCCTTTTGACTTTTAGCAGAGATGGGAGGATCAACGCTCACAGTCACTCATCAGCCCGTGAGATCGATTATCTCATCGTCTGTGCGTCTGATACTAGGCGAACTCGGTTTCGAAGGCGTCGATCTGTTTGAGACCCATACTCCCTTTCCATGAGACGTATTTGCGCTGGCTGAGGCCGGCGACTTTGTAGAGACTGACATATCAATGATGCCGTGAACGGGGAGCAACTTTCGTGGCACTTGAGGAGCGGTTGACGTACCGGCGCTGATGATGCCCCGAGCGCGCAGAAGATCTGATTAAGCAGGCGCATTAATTGCATGCGGTCATGAAGCAGCTGTAGGTTTCCCTGACCTTCGGGCATGTGTTGAATTGCGAAGCGCGCGTATGGAAAGTCATGGGCATCTTGAATGGTCGCGTGATGGTATCGTATGATTGCTTGTGCGCTACGGGACTCTCCAAGTCTGGGCAGGCACTCAGAAACGTAAGGAGTGGATCTGTCAAGTGTGCTCACGAGACGCAATTCCACCCAGCCTTTTTGCTTTTCTCCATGACGGGAGGTACAGAAGCAAGGACCGGCGTACTGTGCTTTTCGAATGCTTCCTTTGAAGCTCTCTCCCACGTTGCCCGATAAACCTTGACCTCGATAAGGCCGATGGACGCTGTATCTTTGATACTGGGGCTACCCTCCTCTTCCTCCACTTTTTAGTCGTCAGAAATGTGGTACCATTACTCTTCGGTACTCTCACTTTACCTTGAATTTTCAGCTTTGAAAATACAAAGGGCCGCTCTGTACTCGAGGAGTCATACACGCCTGATACGTCGGTAGTCTCGCCAGACATAAGGGCGATGTTGTCCATAAACCGTCCGTCCATATATACGTAGCATACGACGTCCACGCCGGTAAGCGTATTGTGTAGGCGCAGAGATATATGCTGTCAACGTATGAGCTATGAAGCTTGCATATCAAATACGACCATTGACCGTACCTTTCCCGCTTCGCTCGCTGCCCAGCATCGAGCTACGTCAGGCTCTTCATAATTTACCCTATAAAGTGCACGCAGAGTTTCATCGACACGTAGGAAGAGCCGAATGCTGTTGCACCTAAGATGGGCTGCCATTATATTAGGCGGACTCTCGAAATGAAAAGTGGCGGTGAAGGGTCTTTAAGTCGCCCACAGTACTGGTGGTTACATTGTAGTCGTAACTCCAGGATCACGACTCTGAGACAGCAGCTATGAGGTCTGTATCTGGTCTCCAAGTCGCGTAGGGATAAGAGGGGTGAGAGATATAGACCTGCAGTTGTAATGGAGAGTCTTCTTCGTTTGGGTAGGAGGAAGCGGGATCATGAACCAGCCGAGCGGCGGGACATATTGCTTATTCTGTGACCTGTGAGTACCACCTGTGAGACAGCGCAGATAGTTCAAACCGGGCTTACAATGCTCCGATGCAATGTCTGCGAGAAAGACAAAGGCATGTTGTGTCACAAGGCGAGGCCTCGGTGCTACTAACGACGGAATGTTTGGTACGGCATACGTACACGAGAGGCGTCATGTCTCTGTCCATAACAGTCCTAGTATCCTCAGGTGCTCTCGGATGACGCGTTTGTGCGGCATGTGATGTATCACGGGCTTTGTTGTGCGCAGACTGAAAAGCCACAGTCGGGTGGGAGTCAAGAATACACACCATCCGACACCTCATCCCGTTATCTCTCTTTCCATGCACTCATACGCACCAGTGGTATACACAAGCGACACAGACGTCACCATGGAGGGATCTCGACTGATCACGGACATGACAGTCCTCGGCGCTCGTGTCACTCAGTATCAGCAGACCACAATTGAGCGACTTGAGAGGCAGGTTAGACGTATTGACAACGAGAGGCAGCTGCTTCTGCTCGACAATCGCGACCTTTCCGAGGTCTCGTCTGTTGCTGCCCTTGGGGGAAAAGGCAGTACTGCGCAGGTGGATCAGGCGAAGGATGAGCTCAGGATAGTGCGCTCAGAGCTTGAGATCGCGCGTCAATTGGCCGAGTCTGCCAAGGCGGACGCCAGCAGGTTCTCAAGTGTTGGTGGCACGACGAAAAGGGTTTCGTCGAGCGCTGGGGATCCGGGCGCTCGAGGCGTCATACAACCCCTGATATGGAACGGTACCACCATTGCTCCGGAAATCGGAGCCCAGGATCGTGAGCAGCTCAAGAACTTGCTGGGCTCGAAGAAGTTGCAACAGGCGGGCGCGAACTACATGAACTTAGCCGCGGCGTCGGCGGCGGTACCAACCATCCCCGACAAGCGCCCCAATGGCAACGCTGAGGTAGCGAGTGGAGCAGACAAAACCAAAATCGGAGCTACGGAGGGTGTGGTAGAGATAAAGTCATCCAACCCTCGCAAGCGTCCGGCGAGTACTGTTGGAGGGCCATCCGGGCCAGCTGAGAAGAAGCGTCATGTGTCAGGGCGTGAATCTAGGTGAATTTATTCTCCCGTCTCAACTAGATGCGTTCGAAAGCTCAATCAACGTTCTAGCGCATCCAGGACAAGCGGTTAAGACTTTCACGGGATTGGGCCGGATGGAGTTATAAGTGTCTGAGCGGCACAGGGAGCGCGTTCTCGAGGAACTGATAGTTTGATTTCCCGGTTGATAGCAAAGCAGTGTGTCTCTGAATGTATGATAGTGAATGAGAGGGGCGAACCGCGGAAGGCAAATTTCTATGTTAATCTTGTCGAGTGAAGTCGTGAACGCAATGTGACTCGAGATATTGACTGCGCGCGACTGTACGTCACGACGTTTGCTCAACGACTTTGTGGAAGCTGCTCGTCATGAAGGGACTCTCTCCCAGAAAGTTCCATGCGCATTTGAGATTGTATACTTCCAATGAGTCCGCTGCACATCCGGTCCACGTCCGTACATCATGCTCGTAGCATTAATAATTGCTCCTTCAGTGCATAACATGTGGGTACTCCTCGCGCAAGCTACTTGTAGGGATTTTAGGGGTCGGTCTAGAAGTTTGCCTTAAGCACCTATTCAGGGGCTTTATTATATTACTCACAGTAGATCTAGGCTTAGAACAACAGTAGTTAAAAGGTAGATGTCCGAAAAGAGTCCAAGTCTCAGTCCTTATATAGAGTCCAGGTAAGTATCTACAGTATTCTAGCGAGTTCCAGTAGATACAGAGTCATAATACAAGCGCAGTCATATCTTACCGAGGCGAATGAGCCGTAGGTTCGCGATAGGGCAGCTCGACGTCGCGCAGTTGCGCGGTTCGGTCGTGGGAAGGTTCCCCGAGGCCAGCCCAATGTAGCGCGCGCTGCTTGCGCAGCGCTCTTCGCGTACATTCCAGCAACCACCACCAACATCATACTCCTTCTGCTCGACACCGGGGCTCATCCTTTCCGTAGGGAAGTCCTACACTACTGCGTCTCTTGGACAAAGGGCTACATTGGCGAGTCCACTTTTCGGGGATCCTTTGTGCTTCGAACGGCGCTCAACATCATTGCGTTTTCCCTATGACAACGCAACTCGGCTTGGGATACGGTAGTGAAATTTAATAACGAAACAACAACGAGATGATCTCTTGTGCCATGACGTGGATTGGTTGTGAGCACGCATAGCTCAAATAAGCTGCAGGAGAGTTTACCTGTATGCTTCCGAAGTTGTGCGCGGCCATTTCTGTGATGTCAGAAACGTTTTTGTGATATCTACGTATGGCATCGTGCTCTAACAGCGGTACCTGGCGCTATTTGGACATGTTACAGCATAATTCATGCGTATACATGGAGATAAGGGTGTGGGTACTATCACATACCGGTTTTCCAATTTCTGGATGAAGAGAGCGTCATCAACAAAGTACAAAAAGCGCAGGCTATGGGTATAAGGAGCATTCTAGATCCCATGCCTAAACTCTTGGAGCATATTAGGTATACACATGCAGTAAAAGTCACACCCAAAACGTACCAGACGCTGAAGGGACGCATTCTGCTGTTGTCGGGTTCTCTCCTTCAACTCAACCCAGCGCGACGACCGCGCCCCCGCGGTCGTGGACTATGCCGCTGCATCGCCTGCTGCTCTCCCCCTTGTTCTCGATCTGGTCGTCCTCAACCGTCTCAATGCCTCTGGTCATGCGCCAATTGCACTCCTTCTCGCTGTCCCGGGTCGCCACCTCAACACTGCGAATACCTCCGACCGCCCGCGCAAATCTGTGAAGCGTGATCCCCCACCGCCGCTCCCGCGCAAAACACTCCTGAACCAGAAGCTCGCGGACCTGGTCGACGCTGCGCGAGACGCCTCGCCAGAGTCTCTGCTGCTCGAGATGTATGGTACAACCTCCGGACCCTTCAAGGAGTCTACCGCGTACACGGACGGCTCCTGCCACAACAATGGCACGCGCGATGCCCGCGCAAGTGCCGGTGTATACTACGGTGCGGGCAGCGTGCACAACATCTCCGAGCGCGTCCCCGGTGCCCAAACGAACAACCGCGCCGAAGCCTACGCTATCCTATTGGCTCTATCGCGCTGCAAGCTCAACCGCGCGCTCATCATACGGCAGGCAGTAAAACCCCATGCACACACATATCCTTGACACCGCACCCAAGCTCGGATTCAAAGTGGGCGCTAGGTTCCCTTTACTATTGGGCTCACCGCCGAGTGTCCGCCGGGTGGCGCTGCGCGCACGGTGACATCCCCCGCGCCTGCTTTGACTGGCTCTGTGCAAGGACCGCACCCACGGGCTTTGACTATGTGCGGGGGCACTCCGGCGACGAACATAACGACGGCGCGGACCATCACGCCAATATGGCCGCCGAACTTCTTGCAGTTGGCCCCTTTGCGGCACCGCCCATCCCGCCGGCACCTCCCCCGCCACACGACGATGGTAGTAACCGGCGCCCAAAGGTTACCTGTACCATGCCCGATTTAGGCGCAGACACAGAAGGGGATACGCCGGCTTCACGCGTCTCATGGTCCAACAACGACAAAGGCCACGACGGCAGACAGCGGCTGGCGCACGCACAGCGCACCAAACGGGAGACCCTGCTAGAGTCACGCCACTTTGGCAGCACGTTCTGGAATGCCTACCGCGACCTCGGCGATGACAAGAAACAGACGTGCGCCGTCTCCGCCGACGCGCTGCGACCGGTATTTGAGCAGCGCATGAACCCGCCCGCCCGCGCGCCACCGAGCTTCCACACCTCAGCCACGATTGCAGCCAGCACCACGGCCCGCAACCTCGATGAAATAGAGAACGCTGCACCACCGGACGAGACCTTCCGCAGGCCATGGACACTGGGCGAAATCGAGGAGCTTAAAGCCAGGGTCAGCGAACGCAGTAGTCACGGTGCACCGGGCACGGACGGTGTGACGCGCTCGCTCATCCTGAAGATGGACAACGAAGCACTGCTCAAACTGTTCAACCTGTGCATTGATCTACGAGACTCGCCGTCAATTCGGCTACGCACCACGGTCATTGGCATCTTAAAGCGCAACCTGCCGGACTACGACCCGGCGAGTTACCGGACCATCGGCCTCGAATCCGTCCTGTTCAAGCTACTTACCCTCCTCATCCACATGCGCCTCTATGCTTGGGCGGAGAATAACAACATCATTCCCGCCACCCAAGACGGTTTTTGAGAAGGCTATCGCACAAACAACAATGTCCTCATCCTCCGCTCGATCATTGTGAAGTACAGGGCCCTCAACAAACCCGTCTATGTTGCATTCGTCGACATCAGCAATGCATTCCCCTCCACCAATAGAGACATGCTGTGGACGGAACTGCATCGCCGTGGCTGCTCGGGTCCGATCATCGACTGGCTGCGCAGCCTCTACGAGAACATGCGCTACATCGTTCGCTCCAATGGGGAGACCTCGGACGACTTCGAAAGCGCGGTGGGTGTCCTTATTGGCGACCCTTCCTCCCCAACACTGTGGAACCTCTACCTCGCCGACTTCGACCCGCCGGCTCACCCAGACAACCCGATGCTCGGGACCACGCGGGTGAACGACCTCGTCCACGCCGACGACGGGGTCCTGCTGTCCTTGAGCCCACATGGCTTACAAGCGCACCTCACCTACCTCTTCACCTATGCCGGCCGAAAGCAACTGCTCACGAACGCGCTCAAGACGTACCTCATTATCTTCAACGTGCTCCCCACTCGCGCATTCGCCCTGTATCTCGGCGACAAGGCGCTCACGTACGTTTGCGAGGTGACGTATGTCGGGATTCCACTGAAATCCGATACACAAAACATCTGCACGTCCCTCTACGACAAGATCAAGACTAAGTCCACGCGCGCATCATGGGCGATTACCGGCATGGAGAATGTGCTTAAGGACCTGCCCCCTGCCGTCGCGCGGCTGCTGTATACGGCCCGCATCGACGCACTGCCCTGCGCCGGCGCGGACGTGGTCCCGGACATGGACGATGGCGTTAAGGAGCTCGAAAAGATCCAGATCAGCTTCCTACAACGCACGCTCGGACTCTCCGGTCATAGCATGCACACACCACCATTTACGGAGCTGAAACTGATGCCCCTGCGACATTGGCGAGCCACGCTCGCGCTACGCTACCTACGATACGCCATCGAACAGCCGCCGGGCCACCTGGTTCACGCCGCGCTCGAGGAACAAATGGCGCTCTTCGGCACCATCCACTCATGCTGGTTGGGCGATCTTGCACACGCCCTCAAACGTATCCCCGCTGTTGAGCCCATTCAAATGCCCTCGCCCGCGATGCTACGCCGCCCCGGTACCGTCGATGGCCTGATCGACAGGATCGATAAGGCGTTGCGCGCACAGCTCCTCGCCGATGTGAAGGAATCGCCGCGACTATACCTAATGAGGGACCGTCTCAAGCCACAAAAACGCGGACCGCCAAAGAAGGCGCTGATGCAATTCCGCCACTACCTGGGCCTTCGCGACAAGGACGATCGCAAAGCGTTTGTGCGGCTGCTCGCCAGCGAGCACCCCCTTCCCTCTGGAAAAATTGCGACACTCCCACTCGCGCAACAGCAAGACATACAAAAAGGTCAATCGCGAAAGGCGGCTGTGTCGCTTCTGCGCTACTGCCGTCGAGTTTTCGGAGCACGCTCTCCTCATGTGCGTGCGCCCCGCTATTCTGCTTGAAAAGCGCGCGGCGTTCTTGGAGAAGCTGCGGGCACTAATCCCGACTTTCGTAGCGCCTGACTCACCCGACGAAGCCCTGATCGCCCTACGGTTCTTGCTCGCATCCCCTGGCTCAGCCCAACTAGTGGCTACCTACATTCGCACTGTCTTTGGCATATTCGAATCCGTACAACTTACCTGGCCTCGAGAGTATATGGTCGATATTCCGCCACGCGCGCCTGGCGCGGCGGTGCGGCGTTTCCGCACGGTCTAATGCATATCACTCCGCAATACAATTGTCTGAACTCGACTCGGCTTAGATTATAAATAGCTCGTCCTTTCTGGCCGGCGATAGTACACTTTAAACGTAGTGCCGACATCGCCGGATGGCGCGGACGGCCCGTGTCGCGCGTGTGAACGAGCTAGCCGGGGAGACAACCAGTTCCGCGATAAGGGGACGACGGTGGTGCTACTACTACTACTACTACTGGGCGCAGAGAGCGCGTTTGAGTTGTTCTCGAGGGGGCTCGATGGATAGTAGTCGTACCGTAGATTCTAGGTAGCAATGTAAGCATGAAAGCGCGAAGCTTGGAATGTACCTTGCGAATACAATTCTGCCGTAGGCTGCGGAAAAGGGAGCTTGATAGAGTATGAGGCCAAAGAGACCGGGCGAACAAGTCCGCGCTGGTGACAAGGATTGCGAGGTTATGCAAATCAGGGGGTAAGTAAGAGTTTCTCGAGAGCAAATCCTTCTGCGGGCACGTCGGAGCGCTTGAGGGTCGGACTCGGGAGAGAGAGGAGGGAAAGAGAAGCCAAATATTCATATTTCAGAGTACAAGCATATACAAGCCTGAGAAAGCTCCCTTGCTCTTCTGGCAGCGCCGAGCGGTACCTTACAAACACGCATGTTAACGAAGCTCACAGACAGCACGAGAATGAGACCGTAGGGAAACCAGGGGCGAATAGCCTTTCATACGACACCGGGAACCTCTTCTCGCTGTAGACTGTCTCGTTCCGGCTCTCTGAACGTATCCTCGTTCTCTGGCCCACATAAAGCGTGCGGGGGATCTCCATTCTCATGACCGGCCACGAAAAAGGGAGGCTCATGGGGAACGGCGAGGGGAGAGGGGCCGGACGTCGCTCGATCGCCGGATAGTGGGTCTGAGATGGGAGGAAGACCGAGACAAGTGGGTAAATCGTTGAGAACGTACCGTACAAGCGGTGAGCGAATCATAAGGCCTGAGCCGCTGTTCCACGGCGCGTCGTGGTCAGGTTCCGAGGCCGCGAAACGCGGGCGAACAACCTTTTTCACCCGCGACATCACCCAAATTCCGCGGGCCTCGAAGTCTGGGTGATTTACCGTCTTCCACCCACATTCCACCTGCATTCCCTGAACTCTGATCCGGCCGCACTTGCTATCGGGTGTTGCCGCGCGGTCGTCTGCCAGCTTGATTTACTTAATAATATTGCCTTTGCCTCTCTGGACTCGCCCGTTATGCCTCGCTATGGGATACAGCGAGGAGGACATGTGACTGTGAACTATATGCTCCATGTATTGACAACTGTAAAATACATAGGGACCCGAGGACGTAATATATACAACATATATAGGCAGATACTCGAGAACCGGTCGTGGGTCTACGTGAGGGAAGCAAGAGGTGCACGGGGCAGCTCTGAGCTAGCTCTACAAGCCGATCGTACTGCAGACATGGCAGTATAGTGTGCGATAGGTGTGATGGCCCTAGTATCGGGTCAGTCGAGAGAATTGGGCAGGACGGGGTGTACTTACTAGTCTAAAAGGTAGCATCATGGCCTCGTAAAGAGGAGTACAGCAGAGCCGCATTACAACTCGTAGGTAGCCCTGAGTACATGTACACGGAGTGAGAACACTTCCGCGACACGTAGTCGACCGGAGACCACTGCACGCAGCATTGCAGGACCTCCAGGTACTTGAATAGAGAAATTATTCGCAGTTTAGGTCTGTCCAATGTGCACATCAGACACAGAGAACAAGACCTAGATAGCGACGAGCACGAACGGGTCGGCGCGGTGGTGGTAGAAGGCAGAGTGAGTCGCGTCCATGAGCCGCGTGCGCGCGTCGTCATGCTCGCGACTGGTCCCGAAAAGGAAATCCGGTGCCGCAGGCTCCTCGCGTACAACTCTGTCATTCAACACCACCTCGCTGCAAGCACTCGTCTAGTATGGCAGAAGCTGGGTCTCGCCAGTCGACACCGGCTAGGCAGGCAAAGGGGCCGCCGCTCGGAATGCCGACTCTGACTCCTCGCCCTGCAGTTACCTCGACGAACTCGGTGGGGCCAGCTTCTGCGCGAGCCGTCAGCGTCCCTCCTGCCGCCGCCCGTCCGTTTTTACTTCCGTGCGGTACTCCGACAGCTCAAGGACAGCTCCGGCTGTCGATGAATCCAAACAGGCCAGCTTCGCCCTCGCCTTTGCGCGGAGCAACTGCTCCTTTACCTTCGATGCGCGCGGCCTCGGTGAACGTTGACCCCAGGCGTTTGGCATTCGACACGGCGGCTTCTACTCCTGCAAAACGGGTCAGTCCGGGTGATAGAGCCAGCGACGAGGAAGCCGAGGAGAATCCAACCAAACGCGCTCGGGCGGGAGCAAATACGGCCACGATCTCCGAGCTTCTTCTCCGTATGGATAACCTCGAAAGGCAATCGAAGAATGACCGTCTTATCGTCACGGCGCTACGCAAGGAGGTTAGCGACCAGAAGGCTGAGCTGCACAAGAAGGACGTGACAATCTCTGCGCTGTCGGCGAGACTCGATAAGAATGCTGCTTCTCTGGATGCTATCTTAGCCCGTATCTCGACTCTGGAACAGAACAGCGTCACGGTGACAGGCCGCAGAAAGAAGGGTCGTAACAATGTTCTCGCCGTACGTTACCAGTTTGGGTGAAGCAACCATACAGACTCACTCAATGGCCGAATCCAGAGCATCATGCGCCGTGCCATGTACGATCTCATGCAAATCTCTGCGAACAGCAAGCTTCCAGAACCACTCGAAGGTGATCAGGAGTTCTGGCTGCTTCTAAACGAGGGAGAAGAAGATCCCACCAAGCACGTCTTCGTCTTGCGCCCCAAGTTCAACCTCTTCGTTGACGGAAACAAAATCTGGTTCAATACCCTCCTGAAACATATTCGTTCACAAGGTCACCGGTGGATCCCGGCCCCTCTCACACCGGCATACCTTGAGGCTATCTCGGACACCGACATCACAAACCGCATCGCAGACCCGCTCTTCAAGAACATGCGGAAGAGGTATCAGCGTGGCCTGCTCGCCGCAGACGAACAAGAGGATCTCGCCGAAATGGAGAAGACCGCGACCCGTAAACGCGAAGTGAGCCTATTACCGAACGGGAGCCTGCCTAGGATGGAAAGTGCTGATCTCAATGACGGCGGATCGGGATGCTAGTAGAGCTTCGTGAGGAGGGCGCCTTTGGCGACAACATGAAAGAGCCGGTGTACGACTTCCTGTTCGACGATGATCTGAACTCGACCGAAGAGAGTGCCGGCGAGGGCGAGATCCTTGACGGTGAGAAGCAACCTGGACTCCTCGTCATCTACGCAGATCACTGATGTTCCCACCGAAGAGGTGCCCGCTTCCGGTGCAAAGCCCAAGAAAAAAGGGAAATCGAAGAGCACTAAGAATGTGCGTCCTCCCTGGATCAGGAAGAGCCCTAACTACCGGTCGGAAGAGGTATGTGTCTGCGCGCGGTTCACGTTCTCTGCCGTGTTCGATATGCCATATTTAATTTATCATTCCAGGCTCAAGATATATATGACAACATGCTCGCCGCCCTTAACCTTAAGCTGCAAGAGAAGAACAATCAGAAAACGAAGGGACAGAAGAAGCATACACTTCGCTGCCCGCCAGAGAGGGTGAAGGAGGGTGCCGGAGTGCGCGAGATGATCAGCCTTCCGTGCAAGCTCCCCCGGTGGTTCGTGAGTGCCATCTGGCTTCAACTCAACGAGGACGAAGAGGAGAACATCCTCGGGAGTGACCATGATGATGAAGACGAGATTGGGGCCCAGGGCGCCTTGCAATTAGGCTCGACGCGGTCGAACGGTGCGCCCGGTGTTGGCGAGCTGGACTAGACTCGCGTGGCTCGTACTCCTGCACGCTTGTGGTGCGTATATACCCATGTCCGCTTGTATGCATGTATGTATAGTCCTCAACATTCGATGGCTGTGAGAATTGAGGGCATCCGTCTACTGTGCGAGGATGTGACGCCTGCGTCGCCGTGATAAGACCGCCGCGCGTAACGCGTGCTCACCATTCTATTCGTTTGTACTCCGACCACCATGTCAGCGGGCTGATACTGTACTCGTAGGTATGTATAGCTGTGTCTTCCTGCACACAACTGGTGTCTTACTGTTATCATACAGAGTGTCAATTGTTTGTTGTGGTAATAGTGAGGCCGAGTGGGACGAACGGGTGGGAGGTACGAGACGGTACGTCGCCTCACTCATCGCATCCCTTACAGCCCGATGGTCTGACTTTGGGCTCGCTACTAGTCCACCGAGCCCTCCGTACTCTGGACCCATCCCGCGACACGTGCAGTCTTACACAGTTGTCGTAGACTCATGTCGTGTGCACGGTGCTGAGTACTCGTCGCCGCCGAGCAAACTCTGTGGCTGGCGTCGCCATGTCCGCGCTGGTCCGACACTTGCTGGTTATACCACGTATCGAAGTACTTTCCAAAAGGCCGCATTCCCTCTTATGTAGAACCTCTACGTACTCTTTCCTTCATGGTCGTTCTACTACTACGGCCCCATTCCTTGGCCGTTATCATCATCGTCTGCATCCTCGTTCTCTGCGTGCTCCTATAGGTGGCATATCAGCATAGGGAGTCTGACTCTCAGATTTGGGTTGAGGACATACGTGATCTAGAGAGATTGTAATCCTAAAAGCACATCGGCCTGGGAGATCGCACTCGCACATGGCGAACAATCCATTGAGTTTCTCTCATGGCTGCAGCTCGGTTTCTCCCAGGTCAATGCCCCACATCTGTATCCCAAGGTCCACATTCCTGGGTGCATGGGTCAGATCGTGCACATAACATCCAGATGAAAGGATATACCACATGTCCCAGGGTGCACGAGGGATTCGGTCGTCGTGCATGAATGGGCGAACGACCGCGACGTTCGCTGTGAGCTCCTCCGAGAGTGAGATCCGGTATATCCAGTCAAGCGCAACAGCCTGACGTCGCTCCATATACCCGTAACAGTGCTTTGTACCGTACGGGTGGGTGCTTGCTCCGTACTTGACACTGTTCACCCTGATAGTCGAATAGGCTTTCACGTGCTCTGGTAGAAAGACTGTGCGACCCTCGCTCAGGCCACCGTACCGCACGATATTGCATTCGGGCCACAGATCCTGGATGTAACGGAGGAGTGGCTGGTAAAGATCGAGCGCCTCGATGTCAACCTTCGCCTTGTACTTGGGGAACTTGATAGACTCTAGGATTTCAAGGTTGAGTTGAATCCGTCGAATGATCCCAGCTCGCCGTACACTCACCTGTATTGGCATCCTGGCCAACTGAAGCAAGATAGTTCAAGAGAGTACCACGCTGACGCTCCGTCTCAGCACCGCCTCGCATGGCAGATAAGAGAGCCTCAATAGCAGCTTCATCTCCCGGAGACTTGTCCTCCATATCCTGCATGTGACGGATCTGTGGAGACTGTCAGTATTGAATTCCCGAAGTATGAACCCTTTGAGATTAGATGTCACTTACAAGATCTTGACAGAGGATAGTATTCCACCATGCACGCATCAGAGTACACTCGAGTTCACCACCAGAGCGATTGTTCGTCTTGAACTTAGATAGTATACCCATGCAACGCTCGAATGCCCATGCAGAGAATGCGTAGAAGGTTCCGAAGCACTCAATCCACTCGAGAGAATGACAGGCGAGATGGAAGTTAGGCTTCAGATGACAACCCATGTTCGCCCAAGACTGGAAAGCTTGAGATAGATACTTTTGCCCTTCTTCTGCATCGTCGAGATATGTAGTACGCGTCCAGAGCTGCCGAAGACCTGCACACATGCGCAGAACATTGCGATAGTGGTTATGATAGTTCTTGCTCATATGGTTATCTTCGAGAGCTTCGAGGTCCAGATCGTCCAGATCTGCTTCACCATCCTGTGCGCGTGCCTTGACACGGCGTTGACGGACAAGCCTCTCGCTTCGTTCTTGATTCTCCTTTGCCTTCGACTTCTTACGTGTCGGCTCAGGCGCGTCTTCAGTTATAGCGCGATCCCACATATTCCACGCGATCGCGACACCGACAGGCATGACAGTAGCAAAGTTGCGCCAGTCATCACACTTGGGGCGCCCAGTTCCAGCCGCGATCTATCATGTAGGCCCGATAAGCTGATCTCTCTTTCATCGAGAGGTAGACTCACGCTCAAACTGAGCCGCCCCATTGTACCAGGAACCCAGAGGTTGTCGAGCCACGACTCAAGCTTGGCGAGCGGCGTGATCTCGTTCCTCTTGCCAGTCCCATTGTACATGCCACCATTGACCAAGATCGTCTTCTGGACATCTGCGATGATCCCTGAATCAGATGGGCATGGATCAACTTAAGATCAACCCAGATGAGTGGTAGCAGTGATATTACCACTCAGACAGTGCATCGGTTCCATAGGGGTACTGAATGGAAGATGCCAATTGGGCAGGAGATCGACTGCAGCATAATGAACTCCGGGATTGTCTGCTATCTCCTTCACTGTCTCTTTGTCACCTCGAGCAGCAGCATCGCGTGCTCGAAACTTCGCGCTCAGAAGGACTTCGGCAGAGGTGTAATTGAATGCTGCATGCACAATTAGTGTGTGTACACAGGCAGGACTGTGTAATGGACGTACTCTTTCTATCGAAGCAGTGGGCTTGGGTCAGACTCGAGAATGTCTTGTCGCAGACATAGCACATATGCTTCTCCGTGGTCGGTGGGACATAACCAGAGGTCTTCCCTCTTGCCGGGGTATCGGACGTAGTCAATGGGCACGTCGCGTGTACAGGCTTGGGCTCAGGATGGCCATGAACATCAAACAGCTCGCCTGTCCGATAATCAATGAATGCATATAGGCTCAAATCACGCTAAAGATCCTCGTACCAGACTCAAGCTCCAGAAACTCGGCAACCATTACATCCAGGATGCGGTTCATACCCTCCCAGTCCGGCTCTCCCGGGCCAGGAATCGTAAACAAGAGAAGTAGATTCTCCCGGAGAAAGCGTATAGATCGTGGCAGGTTCTCAATGCACCCGATGACTGCACCCGATGAATGTGCACCCCGTTTGCGGACTTGAAGCCTGGTGATAGATGATAGGCTTAGTCCTAGCCTAGATAGTTGACCGATATACAGATGGCGCATACATACCAGTCAACAAAGATCCCGATTACGAGCCCACACGGAAGCGAGACGAAGCGCAGAAAGTCCATGTTCCCATCTGCGGGAACATCGTTGACTGTCGCCGTATCCGGATTCCAAACGCGGCGCGCATTTGCACGCAATACGCGCCAGAACCAACCGTCGTGGATGTCCGTGAGCTTACGCGAGGGATCGAGCGATGCGCGCCATTCGTCAGGACTCAACGGAGCGGCCAGTCCATGGTCGTCGCCACCTCGCCAGGCTTGACACTCCTCCCGTTTGCCCGGGCGGCGAAGAACCAAGCGCAGCGCGCGGCGAAGAGGGTGGTATGCAAGTATCTTGAGTGGGTAGCGCTTATTTCCGTACGTCGTGGTGCGCTTTGTCCGAAATAAAGTAGCCGAACAGCCTGGAGTGCGGGAGCATTCGTCGCTTTCGAGTTCGGCCAACTCAAGCATGCTGTAGCGAGCCCAGCACCTAGGGAATATGGCGTAGTACACGATAGCACTGTCAGGATCAACGTGCAGGCGCTTCTCCACCGACCGCATGGTCATCGCCATCTTGGCGAGATCCTCGCGTAGTTTTTGTCCGTCAGGATCGTCGGGGCGCCTCTCAAGCGAGTCTAGCAGGGAGCCTCGTTGAGCAACAAGATGCTGACGAACGACGTCTTGGCCACATCCGTGGAATGCACCCATGACGAATGCGTGTATATATGCATTTCGTATAGATGGGTGCTCGTCGAAGGCCGGAGGTATGGACCCTTCCGGGTCTCCATCGTCGAGATCGGCTGCGCACGCTCGAAGGTACTCATCCAGGTCATTGAGGCGAAAGAGGGGATCTTGAGACAGGTCGACGCGATCCCCGTCTTTGTCTTCGTCATCAATGCTGGTGAGATCTATGGGTGGCACAGTAACATGTCCGACAAAGTCGTCTGCACCTCCGCTATCGTGTTGGAGTTCGTGCTCGGCACCAGGACCAATGAACTCGTCGCCATCCAAGAATTGAGGCCACTCTAGCATGCTTTGCTTAGACAGAATGAACAACGAGCAAGGCACTGTCGACGTACCGTCTGCGCCATTGAAGTTGGTCGTCTCGTCCAATGGATGTCCCGAAGTAGATCGGGCTGGCGAAGGTGCAGGGGTATGAGTCCTATCCGGGTCCGTGAAACCCTGGACGTAGATTGAGCGATGTCAAGATATGGACAACCAGGTAGAACTGACCTCTGTGTCTGCGCCGAAGGGAGACTGTCTGTACGAGTCCGAGCCAGTGGGCGAAGAACCCCTATCACTCTTGCTGTCAGCGGGACCGGGTAGATCATCTTCGAGGAGCTCTTCTTTCAAAGCACGCGATACAGAGGTAGACTCAAGGGCCCTGGACGCATCTGCCTTGAGATGATTTCGTATCGTACGTACGAGCTGCGGGACCTTTCCGGGAGCACATTTAGAACACGGGCACTCTTGAACACCCTCGCCCGGTATCTGCCACAGGTCGCTCATCTCTAATACTTCTGTCAGATCACACAGATATCAGATCGTTGTATATGCTCGTAAATAGGCACCTTATATGCAGTACCAGCTGTACCGTAGTTGTCTCCAGAGCTTCGGCTGATCTCGGACGATATGGAGCACAATGGACAAGAGCAACACGCTCGGAAGAGATAAACAGATCAAATCAATGCATTATCTAGAACTACGAGGGCATAACTACGTGATCAGGAACGGGAGGTGAAAGGTAGGTGGTGGTCGGGTGAAAGCTGCGTCTGCTGCGCGCGGGTGTTTCGCAGGTGATAAGGGCCATCACGGGCGCTAACGCCCGCGGCGAGTGCGGGTGGAATCTGACCTCGACGCGCCGTGTTCTTTCATCTTCAGCGCGGTTGTTGCAGACGCGAGCGCAGGCGTCCAATCTTGAAGGCACGCCCCGAGGTACTTCGGTGCCTAGGTGAGGGTAGAGAGGCGGATGCGCGGCGCCGAGGCCTGACGAAGAATTTGTGACGGATAGTGTGGTAGGCGTAGGTGCAATAAGTCTGCGAAATCAGCTGCAAACGAGGTGGTGGTCGAGAGACGAGGAAGACGCTAATACGCGCGCGGAGGACTTGCGGCGTGTGGCGGCGGCCTTCTCACGCACTACGCGTAGCCGCGCTGATCTTGCAGTGTCCACGAGTACGCTCGTAGACGCTGCCACAAGGTGCACTAGCACACGTTGCAATACCCTGGTTAGGAACTACGACAGCTGTAGGAAGGAGGCCCGCACCGCGCCTTACACCAACCTCGGGATTATCATCGACTTCGGTCGCCTTCCACTTGAGCTCGCTAGACTGATATACGTGGTGCGGATATACTCGCACCTGACAGCCAGAGTCAGTATAATACAGGTGTGGATAAGCTCGCGGAACCACTCGATAATGTGCAGATCGTGTTGCTGTGGCGCGTCCATGGCCTCATACCGTTCTCGCTTGGTGTCCCTCTCCCTCTCTTCAGGGAGATAAACATCGCGCGTCTACAGCTCTAACGGGATATGTTAGCATTGCGATACTTACGCTACTCCATACTCCTCTGGGAGATTCATCTTGTCAAGGCGGCTATTCGAGACTTCTTTGCTATGTACGAAGCGACCATCTAGGGCTGGGTCGATGGTCTCGCTAACATGCTGCGCAGACGAATGCCTCCGATCTGCATTTGACCACATCGTCTTTGAGGTATCAAGCATAACAGGGCGGTAAATGCGCTCGTCAAGCAGTTGATTGACGCTCTGACTGGACATCTGCAACACGACTTGGACACCAGGACACAGCTTTATCGGCTCAGTGACCACCGCAAGCCAGCCTCGCGCTGAGCGCAGGCAGTGGAGTTCAGAATAGAAGTACTCTTACGGCGGCCGACGCACCACCCGACGCAGCTCTGCAATGTCTATTTCCCAGTGATCAGTCACTCCTGCACCACGTACGTACAGATGCATTGACAATTTCCACTGCAATGTGTCGCCAAACACCACATACGTCTAGTACGTACGTCATTTGTGCGTTATGATGCTCATGAATGCCAGGATCGAACGTATAAAGAGGACTGCTTCAGGACGTAGAGCTGTATTAGCTCACTGGTCGTTCATGCACTCGCTATGACTCACACGTACAACTCACATATTCTATCTAAACCTCTCTGGTCTTCTATCCAGCCATAATGACTACGATGACTCTCTACTGTGCTCCGTCGCACGACGATGCCACTCTCCGCTACGACTTGACGTACGACAATGTCTTCTCTGCCATTCTTAATGGTGCTTTGCCTACAACACCGACCGTATGGACAACGGCGACGTCCTTCCTGTAAATAGCGATGTTGACAGGCTTCATGAATTTGCTTTGATGTAAGCACGTCCGAAGTCATGCCAGAGAGCATGTCGTTGGCTTACGAGCTTGTATTGTGTCAGGTTCTGCGTGACAATGTGAACAGCACATTTTTACAGGTGCAAGATAGGCGGATTGCCATTGCCAAGGAAGGCGTACATACCCATTGCCGGCGCAGCGAGGAGGCAGGCGGGTCAACCCCCACCTCACCAACGGCGCCGACTTCTGCCTCGACATCGGCAATGACGTCGTTTGCTTCGAGAAGGTACAACGGAACTACCTGCGGCGCGCGATGCAGCTCAACACACACTCCGCGTTCACACCGCTCTTCGCGGACATGAACATCGTCCCATTGCGGTATAGGCGTGTGATGCTCGCCCTCCGCTACCTCCGCTACCTTCTCGGACTGGAAGAGCACCGACTGGCCCGCATCGCCTTGCTGGAATGCATGGCGATGTTCGATGCTGGTGTGCCGGGTTGGTTGGGAGACCTGCACCTTGCGCTGCTCGCACTACTGAGCCCCATCATGATCCCATCGACCGCACAGCTTCGAGAGGAAGGCGCCGTTGATGTCCTGCTGGAAAAGGTGGACGAGGCCATGCTCATCAAGATCGCGAACGACGTACGGGACTCGAGTAGGCTCTACCTGCTGCGAGACAGGCTCACTCCGCAACGACAGGGACCTCCGCGCACGCTCATCTTCCAATTTCGTGATTATCTCGCCGTGCGCAACCCAGAGAACCGCAAGGCTCTCGCCCGCGTAATCGCGAGTGACCACCCACTTGCACTCGAGCAACTACGCCATGGCCATGCCAAGCGCAATGGGGTCGCGAAATTCGCCGTGCCACAAGAGGAACGCCTGTGTCGATTCTGCGCCGCTGCTGTGGAGTCGCCGGAGCACGCTATGCTCTCCTGCCTCGGAAATGATGCCCTCAAACAAGCACACACCCGCTTTTACGGTCAAGTTCACCTGATCTGGCCTGCGTTCGTGCCACCGGCTAACGAGGGTGAGGCGCTAGGTAGCCTGAAGTCGCTGCTAGGAGAGAAATCAGTGCTGTCGGTAACGGGAGCCGCTTGAGCGTAAGCAAGAAAGTGCATTCGATGCCTCGGACACACAGGTTATCAGGCAGCGCGTGGCGACACGCGCGATACGGTCCTGAAAACCCCCAGCGCTGATAGGACGCAACGGGTGGAACTTACTTACTTACTTACTTACTTACTGATCGCCTCGTCCAGCGTCGAACATTCTAATTTCGACGCTCGTGGTGATGATTCTCTGCCTCTTGAGAACACGGAGGCGTCCATGTCACACGCAGGCGGTACGTTGGTAGAATACACTGGCAATAGAAGCTCTGTTAACGCCTTTCCTGCAGCATATCATGACCACGGCGCGAGGCGCCCCTTACATCGGACACAGCCACTATAGACACCAGCAACGTCGGGCTAGACATCCAGGTCAAATATTCGTGCATTGTTAGTCTGACGATACGCTCGAATGGGTCTAGTGCAAAGATACTCGGTGGTGTAGATGTGGCAAATGCGCGTGCCGGACCAAGATGCCCGACTCTGACGACTTTGCACCTAATGTATTGGAGACGGGGCTGCCGATGAAGCTCGATACGTCGATCATAGGACCTATGTACTGCAAGGTATGCGATAATGCTACTTTCAATCAGCACATGGCATTGATCAAAATCCTCGAGCAGCAGCAGCGCGTACCTCGGACACCGCCTGCAGCGTCGCCACACGATGCACCACTCACGCCTTTCGTACTCAACCAGCATCTGTAGATGTACCTCCGCCCCAACGCAATGTCTCCACCAGTAAAGAAGCCGTTAATTCAGCCGGATGTGAACCGTTACGCATTGCTCGGCCTCCGGCGCGCTAAGCCCACGGGCAGCGTGCCACTTTTTTGCGAGGATGTCATCTCAATTACTAGGTTGACTCCGCGGAAGACGTATTGACAGTGATATCCCAAGAATATCGTGCAGCTGTCTGAACGAGAACGTATTCTGGACGGTATGAGCAAGACAGTGAGCCAGCGGCTAATGTTATATTGCAATTGCCTTAAGCAATATAGTGCGCGCATAGGCAAACCCGTAAGGCCTTAGTCTTCGCCAACACGCTCAGCTTTGATACGGCACGGTGTGGCTAAGGCTAGCAAGAAATAAGTGGCTCATTAGGCAAGCACGCTTGTAAATTTTGGACGGTATCAGTAGATCTGTAGCAGTAAACCTCGGCAGGCGCCGGTGTACTTGCGCAACATCTTCACCCCCGAAGAGTCCACTGACGACATTTGGCGCATGGTGCGCGATCACGGAGTCCAATCATAAATATATTAACAGCTATGTGTCATCAATTATTCCATTTACGATTGAGATCAGGTATTAATGATGAGGAATGATTGTCCGACGTTGAGGGAGGCTGTAGTCACTAAGCCTAACGTAATCTTCTAATAGGACCATTGAGTATATTGAAATCTCTATGAGCAGTGTACGGGGTTGCGCAAGACTCGCCGACGCTTCGTAAGCAACCAAAACTGATCAGAGCGCCAGACGACACTTCATTGTACTGGGTTGGAGGATG